TATTTTGTTTTATATTTTCGATATAATTTTGAAGAAAAAAAGGTAATTTTTTAATAATAATCTCTCCACATTTAAAGTTTTTTTCATGAATTGATGTGAAGTAAAAATTTTAATATTTGTAACGAACTATTGAATTTTCTACTATTTCATAATTTTACTCGATACATAAGAAAGTCAATGAGTATTTTTTTCAGAAAATTTGGTTTGGACGCTGACAAAAAAACGTCATATGTCAAAGAAAACAAGGGGGCAAATCCTGGATCGAAGAAAGAAAATTCCGCCTGGGGATCAACATTCAAAAACAAAGAACATTTTGCGAGTTTACATCATTTTTAGTTATATTATACTCTCAATATCATATGTATGATTCTCTTTTAGTTAGTAATATAAAGGCACCTTATTAAAATCATTTTCTAATGAAAAGTTTTGTGCGGGATAAAAATCGACACATTTTTATGAAAGTGCTTCTTGGATAACCGGTAAGAAAAAGTTTTCTGAGACTTTTTGGGAAAATAANTCTGAGACGTTTTTGGGAAAATAATCATAACACTTCTTAGATTCAACACAATGTATTTTTGAATTTCAAAGGAACGCCAATTTTTTTTATAAATAATTCATTATTCAACATAAAATGAAGAACGATCTTTCCATTGATGTGTTCTGGTTGATTCCCATTCCTCAAAACTGAAAGTTTCTTCGAAGATATAAGTAGCTTGTATAACTTTCCAAACCTGATTCTCTATGTCATGAACGGCTGTATGGTTTTCTGTTGCTGTTTGTTAAACTTTCCGAACCAAACCTTTTCAAAAATCAGCAGAAACAGAGACAGTAGAAAACCTGAAAAGTATTATTTTTTGTTTTTCAATCAATATATCTAGACACCGGTTTGAATGAAAAAACTACGATTCCCTAATTTGAATGAAGATAAATATATTTTACCTAGAAACAAGACGAAAAAGATTCCTTGCATGTCATCTAGATTGACCGTATGATTGTTGACTTCTACAAGGTGACGGTTTTTCCAACAGCGGTCCTTTTTTGGTAGATAATCTTGAAGCCACTTTTGAATGAGGCCGACTTGGTGGAGTTTTTTGATTCTATAAAATGAAATATTTGATGATTTATATAAAATACAGTATAGTAAATATGTTTTGAAATGCTTCGTTTAATGCTATTGAATACATAAAATATTTGCAACTTTTCTAAATTGAGGAACACATAAAAATAAAGTCATAGTTTTAATAAATCGGAATCTTTTCCGAAACATAGTAAATTATAATGAGGAATTTCGATGTTGGACTTGGTTTATTTTGAGACTTGTTTTCAATTTTTTTTAGTGCAGAAATTCAAAAATAAAAACCTGAACTGCTTTTCCAGAATTGTAGAACTAATCGGAAAAAATAGAAACCATGTTCAAAATAAACTGTGAATTTTATCTAGCGATTTACTTTCGAATATCATCATTATGATGACTTAAACTAATAACACCTATCTGAAAAAAATCAAAATAATCTATATTCAATCCTATTTTTGTACTGTTGCGTTCCCGAATTGAATAAAAAGAACCTAGTAACTTACTCTTCATTGATTTTTGGAAGATAAGGAGAATCTTGAGGAAGAATTAAAGCTAGCCGCTCCTCAAAAAATTCCTCCAAACCTAAAAATGAACAATTCAAAGGGATGATTGAGAAATAAACCATCAGTAATAACAGTTTATAAACTAATACAAAAATGGCTGAATGATGGAAAGTCCAATGAAAGTGGAAGTTGCTAAAAGTATCTGGAAACTGGAAGCACTTTCAGTAATTTTGTGAAATAGAGGTAAAGATTTTATTCACATTATATACTCCTTGTATTATCCTTATCTAAAATTCCTTTCCTCTATTTAAGATAAGAGTATATTGTATGTGAGATTAAATTTTTTTATGATATTTCATTGGTATCAACATTTTTATTTTGTACTCAACAGTTTCGTTATTTGAGTATGAACTTAATATGTTGCCATTAAATAATTTAGGGCCCAAGCTATGTTGTCCAAGTATCTTATTACGCTTAGAAACTTATTTATTGTTTAGTAAGAATGTTCCAGTGGATATACAGTATCCTTATTATTCTAACAGATGTTACTTCTGGGATATGAGTATTTGGATCAACAGTAAAGCGTTCAAGTTTTGGTAAATGGTTTGTATAGAGAGCAAAAGACATATATTGTGTTTTGTCAATATTAAGTATAATTTGTTCAACTGAAACCATTTCGAACTACTTGAAAATCATTTTTAGCTTCAGCCTTTAATTGTAGCCAGTTTTTTGATTCGTGAAATATAGCAATGTCCTCAGCGAAACTGACTACATCACCTCTTGATTCAAGATCCAACAAGCCGTTGGCACTTTATAGAAGAGGCATAAGCACCGTTCTTTGATCCACACCGAATGTTGCGTTTTTTATAACACTAAATAGAAGAGGCCCTGGTACCGTTCCTTGAGACACACTGAATGTTACGTTTCTTTTTTCACTGACACGGTATTCAGTGAAACCTATACAGACATGCAAACATACAGGAGAAGTTGTTTCCTCACAATCATTTGCCAATTTCTATTCTGTGAATGTAAATGTAAATGTAAATATAAATGTTTTGAAAAGAAATTTTTGTCAATATTAAGTATAATTTGTTCAACTGAAACCATTTCGAACTACTTGAAAATCATTTTTAGCTTCAGCCTTTAATTGTAGCCAGTTTTTGATTCGTGAAATATAGCAGTGTCCTCAGCGAAACTGAGGTGATGTAGACCTCTCGATTCAAGATCCAACAAGCCGTTGAGATAAACACTTTATAGAAGAGGCATAAGCACCGTTCTTTGAGCCACACCGAATGTTGCGTTTCTTATAACACTAAATAGAAGAGGCCCTGGTACCGTTCCTTGAGACACACTGAATGTTACATTTCTTTTTTCACTGACACGATATTCAGTGATACTTGTACCTATACAGACATGCAAACATACAGGAGAAGTTGTTTCCTCACAATCATTTGCCAATTTCTATTCTGTAACGAATGTCTTGATAGAAAAGAAAAATTCCTACCTAGTGTGAAATCGCATTGGCCAGTTTCCAGAAACCTTTCTTTCATGATGAACTGTAGTTTCATTTTCCAATCGATGAAAACATGCTTTCCTTCTTGTATGCTGTTTACTAAATTACTAATATCAGAGTTGGACTGTCTAGACCTCCCTTCATAAACACTTCTGAATCTAGGTTCATCGGCAATCTGGAAGTAGAGAAACATTTTTGAAAGTATGATCATCGGCACTGTGATTGTTTATTTCACCTTCAACTCGTTTTCCAAGTAACTTCCTTCTCTAAAGCTCCAGGTAACGGTATCTTTATGAGAAATCATTTCTTCCAGTGTGGTGATGGGAATATCTATTTTAGGAAACGTCAGAAAAGCGACAAGATTTCCACAATAAGTTGTGGCTATCACCAAAACTACAAGCCACCAAGAACCAATCAAGAGTCTCGCACTATCCGCACAAGGGAGGTGCATTCCACCTGCGAAAGAATGAAATAATTTTGTATTTGTTCCCAATCATTTGTTCACCTACCTTGTTGAAGTAAAGCACCGTACATATACCAAATGCAGTTTTGAATCGAAGATAATCCTCCCTTCATTGGAATTCCTTTGTATTCGTAAACTGGACTGAATCGGTGTATGTAATACAAAATGGGACCCATACAAACTATGGATGCTGCCAAACATAACCAGGTCTAGAGTGAGACAAAATACTGTTATGTGTTTCGTGATTTCGTAAATGTGTACAGTTATAATAAATTAAAAGTAATGTTATTCCACCTTCCTAACTAAACAATATTTCACGAATTGCTTGAAATAATTCCAAAACAAGAACGGCTTCCAAAAACTAGAATTGCAACTCCTTTCTTGTCTGTATAGTGAGAAATCTTCAAAACTGTTTTCATTCTGCATATCTTAATGAGAATCTAGAAGTGATTTCGAATTAGGGTAAAAGTTACCAGGTTCAATTCAATGCAACAAAAACCCAGGCATCGGTTTTCTCCAAGAAGATAATTGTTTTCGAACCGGATATAATAATGTCAGGTCAGACAATTCCGCTTTCTGCTTCGATAAGTTTGTTGGGGGTTAAAATGGGCACCAATATGTCTTGGCACAATCATGTCGCTGGAGTTGCAAAGGCTGCTATTCAAAAGCTTGGAACACTGTTCCGAATCAGAAAACTGTACACACCTTAGCAACTTTTGATGCTTTATAAAGCTCAGATCAGACCTTCTTTGGAGTATTGTTCTCATGTATGGAGCTCTGCCCCCAAACATACCCTGAAGTTGCTGGATTCCTTCCAGAAAAGAGCCATCCGCCTGATTGGAGACGCGAACGTTGTAATAAATGACCGTCGGGTCTGAATTGGCGATCCCTATATACTACTAAATATCTCAGCTATACTCGCACCAGAAAAATACACACCCCCTGTATATAGGATCGTTCAGCCGAAGGTATTTATTTTTTAATTTAGTTTGGTAGCGCGAGAGTTGCTGCCACCAGATCAGAAAAAGTTTGAAATCCGTCCTGATTACAAAAGCCACTCTTCCCCAAAAACTGTCCCAAACTCTTACCAGGAACTCGAAAATGTTCTCTAAATCAGCTAAACTGAATCAGACCGCGAATAATAATCAAAACCCAATCACTTCGCGAATTCTCTCAATAATTTCACAACTCTGTAGGAAGTCCAACCGACCTACTTCTGAGTTCGTACGCTTCTGACTTTTACCTCAAGTCACCTAGCCAAATAAAACGCGACAAACTCCCAAATACCAATATCACTTCTCGAAACGATGACTTGAAATATCTCAATATTTCAACTCACTCAAAGCTTCCTCAAGAATTTCCAAACTTTGTAGGAAATTCAACTGAACTAGACATATCTTCGCGCACGACTACTTCTGAGTTCATACGCTCCCGACTTTTTACCTCAAGTCAGCTAGACAAAATAACCGCGAATATTTCTTACTGCTGAAATCTACTCGCGACCCTGTGTCTTAAAACACGTAACACCTCAGTTCCTTCAAATAGCTTTCTCAGCAACCTCCCCAAAGGGGCCAACTGCCCCGGGCAAAAGCCCCCAAACGACCCTGAGGTCCGCGCGCGACTGACTTCGTTCGCTATTATCCCTTTTCACCTCAATTCAATTAAACTGCGAATAATTAACAAATCTGAAACCCTTCGCGACACCGGGTCTCCGGAACCATGTCCGGAGGTCGAAGCGACCCGGTCAAAAGACCGCGAACTCCTCGCGGTTCTGTGCACGACTGCCTTAATTCTTTCTCAAAAACTTCGAACGCTATCATCCCTTTTCACCTCAATTCAATTAAACCGCGAATAATTAACAAATCTGAAACCCTTCGCGACACCGGGTCTCCGGAACCATGTCCAGAGGTCGAAGCGACCCGGTCAAAAGACCGCGAACTCCTCGCGGGTCTGCGCACGACTGCCTCAATTCTTTCTCAAAAAGTTCCAAACTTAACTCTGTTAGGGGATGTAATTCAAATAATCTCGTAAAAATTCCGTCTTTTACATGTCCAGCGAATAAGTCCGCAAGAATTACTGAATGTTTCCCGGCATTTCTAATGTCGTGAGCCTGCTACTGACATATAGATGTCACTGCAAGGGTTATTTTTATATTTTCACTATCTTGAATAAGAGGTATGTAGACTATCTCGGATACCTTAATTTTATCATGTCAAACCTTTAAACTCATAACATAAATTTCGATATTTATTATACGTTTAAGTACTTTTTAACTGTTATTCTAAATGGGATACGCAGACTGAATAATATATTTTCGACCCTTAACGTCATGATAATGAAATGAATGATGAGGTTGAATGTTTCAAAATATTGAATTTCTTAGCATCAAGCAGTTAATTTTAACGACTTTCCCTTCAAATGACTTGGCTCTGTTGACCTCAAGGTTATTTCTGAAAGCTAATAAAGGTTCCCTTTTTATACGAAAACACATGTGTTTTGGTATCTAAAATTCAACGAAAAATAATATATCCAACTTATTACAATGTCACGTGCAACCTTGATAGCCTGGAACATCAAAGAAAGGTTGGAGATTTGTCTCTTTTCTATAGATATTTTCACGAGAGGTGTTCAAGTGATTTGGCACATTTGATTTCACCAAGAGCGGTGCATATCAGAAATATGTGACAGACTGTGGCTGCTCATCGTTTCGAGGTTCAACTCAGTACACCTACAACTTTACTGTTTAAGAACTCTTTCATCTGAAGAATTGCGTTTATGTGTCATTAACTAAGGCGTTGGATACAACAACAAGACCAAGAACCAGAGCAACAGCTCGGGTATTGCGACCGTTGCCACATCGCCTTTGAAAATATCTAGCGCTGTAGTAGACGAAACGTCATGCACAAAAACCTGTAGACCACGGCCAAAAAACTCGGGCTAATGTTTGACATCAGCCTTTGCATTTTTTTCTGTAATTTGCAAGAATATAGTTGCTCATATTATTCTCACTTTTGTCTTTCGTTAAAATTTTACCATCTGTATATGCTCTTGCCACTTGAATGTCTGACATTTTCCAGAAGGTCGTTACTATAAATGATGCAGAGAATCGGTCGCAAAATAGAACTTTGAGGTACTCTTTGTCTTACTGAAACTATCTAAAAGAGTGATTTTTTCCACTACATCAACCAATGTCCACTCCCCACACCACGGGATAAGTGATAATTGTGTACAAAAATCATGTGTCCTAAGCTGCAGCATTGATTCGAAAATGACACAGCATCCCGCATTCGGCCAATATTTCTGCCTTAGGGTGGTTAAACTCCATGATCTTGAGATTCGAGGGAATTATTATTATACAGTGCATTTCTTTATTGTCACCCCCTTCTTTTAGTTATTGAACGGGTCAACTCAAAAAATTGAAATGATGATGATGGATGATGAAATTGATGGATGAATGCATGAATACTTTATTTTGAAGTGAAATTGACAAATGAAACTTTCAAGATGGCGACTGGCGCCACCTGGGAAAAAAATTAAATGAAAAGGGGGATATTGTGATATATCTTTTTGAAGCTCCTGACGAATACTTCACAACCCTAGATTATGAAGTCAATATCTTCACCAACTACAAAATGGCGGAACATTTAATAATCTCCTGAAGACAAACACATTAATATCGATATTTCTAGAAATATTCCTTTTTATCTGCCATATAGCAATTCCAACAACCCGAAAAGGTTTGTTAAGTTATTTTTTGTTTATAAAAACGACAAAAATTGTCAGTACAACAATGAACATCATTGTTCATTTAGTTTTCGGTTTTACTAGTAGAAAGGTATCACGTTAACAATCTCTAAAATGGTTTAATTCTCGTCCATTGGAAGAAAACATTGAAGCGACTTTCACGAGACCGAAAGGATTTTCAATGAACGTTTTCCGAATCGTCCTATCTGTAGAAAATATTTGCGAACAACTACCGGTAGTGTACATAACAAAAAGCCCCCAGGTCATCCGTCCATTCCGGAATAAGTATCATCCATACAAAATAAAATGGTACACCAATTAACTGAAGTTGACCCAGATCGAAGAACAGAAGTCTCCGAAATCATGACAGAAACTATTGCAAGGCATCCTACCTATCTCCACAAAATTTGTTTTAGTGACGAATGTACATTTTTTTTAAACGGCAATGTTCACAGACAAAATTGCCGTTATTGGAGTGACACCAACCCTCACGTTTTCCGGGAAACACATAGCCAATGTCAAAAAAAAATAACGTTTGGGCAGGAATATTGAGAAACCATATTGTAGGACCTCTATTTATTGATCAAAATTCAACGGGGGAACTGTATTTGAATATGCTGGAAACTACTGTTGACCCTCCCATCACTGAAATCGTCGAAGCGAATCCTAATGAATTTGGTATGGATATTGTATTGCAACAAGATGAAGCACCACCACATTACTCCAGAAACTATTTGGATACTACTTTTTCCGGTCGTTGGCCTGGCCGTCAAAGTCCTACAGAATGACCAGCCCGCTCGCCAGATTTGACACCTTTGGACTTTTTTATGGGGCTATTTGAAGCGAAAGGTGTACGATACTGAACCTGCTTCAATATTGGATATACGTCAGAGAATAATAAATATTTGTAGAGATGTTGACGTTACTGTGTTCGAAAATGTTCGGTGTGAATTATTGGATAGGCTGTTCATATGTCAAGAAGTTCAAGGCATCCATTTCGAGCATCTTCTGAACTGACCTCAAGCTCATTACCTCATATTATGTAGTTAAATGTCAATGTATTAAAAGTTTCGCCATTTTGTAGTAGTTGAAGTTATTGACATTATATTCTAGGGTTGTGAAGCATTTGTCAGGAGCTTCAAAAAGATGTGTCACAAGACCACCCTTTCTATTTAATTTTTTTCCCAGATGACTCCCAGTCGCCATCTTGAAAGTTTTATCTGTCAATTTCACTTCAAAATAAAGTATTCATGCATTAATTTCATTATCCCAAATTTCAATTTTTTGAGTTGACCCGTTCAAAAAATAAAAGGGGGGGACATTAAAGCAGTGTATATTATTATATTTAGTGTAGCAGTGTAGATATATTAAGTCGCAGAATAATATAATATACCTTGCATAGTAAATAGTGTAAATACTTACATCTCCTGTAAAAGGAGAAATGAAAAGCAACGCCCTGCTCAACTCTCGTGGTCTGGCGACAAGAAACGTGTGGGTTTGTGTGCTGATGGGTCTGGTAAAATTGATAACGTATTTCAGATCCTCAGTAATTGTAACAGCACAAGCTCCCAAGAAGACGACTTTGTTTTTCGTCATGTTAAGGATATATACGGGTATGCGGTTTGTTAGAGAATTGCCGATGATATTATGTGAAGCGCTTTTGATGGTCGTGTTTTCCAAAAAGACTGATTTATTTACTACTTCGAGTTTGAAAGTGAAGTTGAGATTTTTTGCCAACTCTCTGATTATGTCAAAGACCAATCCTTTGTATTCTGTAACGTCTCCTGATTCGTTCAAACTCAGAATTTGCCATGGGGGATTCTGAAATAATAGAATTACCATGAAGTTATTAAAACATTAATAAAACTCATCACAAATATCAAATCGGAAACCGCTCGGAAATCGCTAAGTATGTCATCGGCCTTATATAGAAAAGCAAGCATCGCTAGAAAAAATGTCTCTAGCATTTACGAGCAACTCTAATCTCATTTGCCGATCTTTATTCTTTATTAGTATTATACTGTTGCATGTCACCTAATGTAAGAACATTTTGATTACTACACGAAATATTTATAGGTTAGGTATACAATTGTTACGAACACCAGCCCTGGTATTCAATTCCTCAGTTCCTAGTATTCGAGATAAGGTTTAAGTGGAAAATCTTTAGATTCATGGTTGACCAGTAACAACAATTTCGAAAACGAATGGTTGATAATCGAGGAATTGAGTAGAAAATGTTGATTCAAAAATTCGTTAACTTACATGAAAGGTCACCATTGGCAAAATTTTCTTTCTGAAACCGTGGGCGATGTGTAAAAATAATTCGTCAATCATCGTAGCCCCATCACTAGGTCTCCATGTTCCTACGGGAATCAGTTGTGACGTAATATTCCTACTAAGATTTTGGTATTCCTGTCCCCAAGTTTCTCCAGTCTTCATCTCCCAGAAGGTGCAATTATCACATATCCCATTCTTTGAAATATATTTCTGAAAAGAAGGAAATTTGGATTCACAGATGAATGTTTATTTCAATAATTCTTGTGAATTCTTTACTGAAGTAAGGGATGATCTTTTCGACAAATTAAATGAGGTTCTGTATAATTTGATAAGACTTCGTATGATTAGTTTCTCTAATGTACTTTTTTCAATTTAAAGGTACATTATATCACATTACATTCCACAATAAATGTGAATACTACTGCCAAGAAATAGTTTACTAACTACAAATTAACGGAAATCGAGACAATTTTTGTTTCTCAACTACTAGATAGATGTGAATTTGTGACAATCAGTAATATTTGTGTTGGTTGTGTTGTGTGTTGGTTGTTATATGAAAATATTTGTATTATAGTACTCAATATTTTTTATATTGCGTATATAAAACTTATTTTTAACTTCGAAAGTGAGGACTGAACTATCACAGGATACGTATGTTAGAATTTTCTACAAGCAAAAGGACTAGCTGATGTCAGTATGTTATTTAATTAGGAAAAATACAGAATTTATTAACGATAAATATATTTTTAGCTGAACCAATTAAACAAACTATTGATAATAAAAATCTGGTGCTATTATCGTAAATGTTCTAGTTCACTTCTAACTAATGCTTTCTAGTATTTGGTCATTGTTCAATACTAGTAAATAGACATTGTCAGGGTTTTTTTGTATTTGTGGTACCTATCAAGTCAGGTTTTAGTCATTCATACATAAATAGAAAATTCCGAACAGAACCCCAAAGGGGTAGTGTGGAAGATACATTTCACAAATAACAATGCTGGATTTTAAAGCAAACTTTCCTACTTTGATTTTGCCCAACAAGAACTCCCTTCTCTCCACTTTTGTTGGTCTGATAGCTTCCCATTCTTCTTCTGCAATTTGGCTCGCGGTATCAGATTCTTCTTGCACCGCCTCGTCTAAGGCCCTCGTGAACGCTTCAATAATTTCTTCTATTTGGCACTTTCTTCCTCCCTGAACAAATAAGAAGGTTTTTTTTAAGTATAGAGTGAGTGACGATACCGACGTATGATTTTTATCAATGAATGGGAGTGATTCAAGAGGAAGGTTTAAGTACATAATTTAAAAATATTTTTGGTGAATTTGTTGAAATATGTCGACGTTATTCGGGAAAAGTCAGAGCGGTGGTTTTACTCCTACGATCTTTCATGATACATGATACATTCATGATAACACAAAGTTATAACGTCTGGCAAACCTACGTATCTCCTCAACAAACTTACTATGTTCAACCTCAATAGGGTGAACACAAGAAAAAATAATTTGCTAGTTATTTCCAAACACTCAGTGCACTGTTCCAATGTTCTTTTTCATATTCAGCACCCAAATATCATAACAGTCTTCCCAAGGAGTTTTGGAACTTCTTTTTATACAATTTCAAGAAGAAATTGAAAATCTTACTTCAGTCACTATAGA